AGAAGTCATGTGCGAATGTTTGCTGCCAGGGTGGATGTTGTGCACGATGAAGGTCTCTTCAGAATGCCCTTCTCCCGCGTCGAATGTAACGTTCACGCCGAACCCCGCGTCGGACGGTTGATCAACAGCGATTGTTTCACAACATGAGCTTAGATGCAAGTGACTGCAAGAAGCTTTGCGGTAAAAAGGTCCAGGCCTAGGTGCGGCGAAAGCATCCTCTGGACTAGTAGCAACCACGACTGGCACTCGCGAAGCGGTCAGGTCTGGACTGGGTTGAAGGGATTGTCATCAATAACGCAATATCTCTGCCAATGGAGATAGGTGGTGGCTTGTGAATAATCATTGCCGCGAGATGAAGTCATGTGAGGCAATGTTGATCAAGGAGAGACTGGCTCCGCCGGCCTCCCGGCGAATGGGTTCGTCAACAACATTGCTTTGTAAAGAGGTAAGCAACTTTTTCCTCGGGGTACTGGAAGATCAGCTTTGTCCTCGGGTTTCACAAAACGGTAAGGGCCACGAGTGGCTGTGAGAAGGCGGAGTCTGTGGTTGCTGTCGATCAATAATCGCGGCTGAGTGAGCTTTGGCCAGAGTGAGACAACACAAAATGACTTATCGAGGCAGTTGCACATTGACGGGCAGTACGTATCACGCTCGTGCTGCATACTGGATCCCTTGTCCAATCAATTGAAAGAAACCAAAGACAAGACACTCTTAAGGTGAGCCTGTCGGAAAGTCAGGATGGCATTGGATTTGCGATTGCTTTACTGGCGCGGTAAAAACTCGCGCCGCGTGCTTTGTGCTTTGTGTCCGCGTGGAAGAAACCTGCGTTGAACGTGAGGCCGATATGACGAAGCTGCAATTGCATCGGAGTTGTCGCCATACCAGGCAAATGGGACTCATGAGACATTGTTGCGCCTGCAGCCCAATGTTACCGACCATTCAGCTCTTGCCACAATTCTGAGGTGCGGTGGGTCGCTGCCGCAGGATACGCAGCACCTGCATACGGATACAGATAGTCGACGATCCCCAGATGAGGCACAAGCGCCGGAGCACCCTCTCCTGGGCAAACTCCTGCAGGACCGTGTAATAAGTGATCGTTCCAGAAACAGCACTCTGACGCATGAACGCATGCAGGACCTAGATGACAGGATGACGCCGGAAGACGAAGGTAGGTTCGGAAAAGCGAGCACGTTCAAGGAGCGACAAGCGCAGACGATGATTAAGCCATTCCTGCAGGCCACTTTGCAGTGTCTTGGTCAATTTCCAGAGTCTCGGTGCCAGACTCGACCGTACGCAGGTACACACATAGTGGAGTGAGTGCTGGCTTAAGTAAGCTTGGCCCGAGTATTAATTCAATTCATCAACAGCCAGCCACTCCAGCTTGGAGGATTAGTGAGACATGTTCCATGTGCTGACCACCCACCGCTTAAACGCTCGGGTATACCTGACAGTCGCGCATCGGGTTGGAGCAGATGAGCCGATACTTGCCCGGCACCATCAAGCAGACGGCATAGGATACTCACGATGCAGTATCAGGCGCAGATGTGGTTCAGTTGCTGATGTGATTCGGAAGTTCCACAGGAGCAGGCTTCCCCAGGATTGTCAGGGACCAATAGGCCCGGTGACGACGAGCTGCAGCAACCCCGGCCAGAGATGAGCGTCGCGGCTGGAGACTGCCGTTTGACATGGGCTGTAGTGTCGTTGGGCACCGATAAGCATGAACGAGAATGTCTCTGCTCTTTGTTCATCAAACCGAGTCGAGTCCAGTCGTCAACAAACAAGAGCCTTGATCAAAGTAGGCGCATCGTCCTGCGGCGAATGACCGGAAGGTCTGCCCCGTTTCGGGTCAAGTAGACAACCACACTGCCGCCGCAGTCGCTTGATGGACGTCAACTAGGTGCCGGTGGCGATGGCACAAGTTGACGATAGAGCTGAGCTTGAGCTTAGATTGAAATTGACGCGGTCAAACCGGGCACGTCATTGTGCCCCTCGGATATTATACTGTAGAACAGTTCAACAAAGTTGCCGAGGTTCCCGCCCGTGTGTCTACGGCCAGGCCGCGAATGCGCGGCTGTCGCCGTCGTTGGGCCGTCGTGGGCCGTCGCAACTCTGGTCGGCCGACGGGCACCAAGAGTTACAGTCTGGCTGTGTGCGTGGCGGAGGAAAGCAGCCTGGCGAGAGAGAGGAACAACTTTGGGTTGTCACACACCGCGCGGAAAGCGGGCGAGGAGGGCGCGATTGGCGAGGGTTTCTGGCCCCGTGGTCTTCCCGCTGCAGCAGGGGCTGCATGGCCGATTCCAGAAGGCCATTGGAATCAAATGCTGCATTTTGCAACGGGAGGGCCTCTCACACTGACTGCCTGATCCGTGATGATACTGATCACAGCATGCACAAGTTGGTGTGCGACTTGGTGTGGCAGACTGTTGTAGTCATGCTCAGGGGTACTGCAGATGTCAAGCACAACCGGGAGTCAATCCGGGAGAGACGATTGAAGCCAGGTTGCTAGTGGCACATTAATGAAGTAGATAGTATGCGAGAAAAAAGCAAATACAGCGAGGGAGGGAAAAAAAAAAGTCTACCGGGTGTGGGAGAGGATTGGTGACGTGGTATCCCGAACGACCAACAAATTGTAGAGAGGCAGATAGACTAAGAAGTCACGATGGGGAGACAGCAAGGGAAGTCACGGAAAGGCAGAAAGAGTGCAATGGCTGCAGAATTGGGTGGGAAGGCGTGGCCAGCACAGCCAGGTAACAGTTTGCGCCTGCTGCTTGCTGCTGCTTGTGCCGGGCAATATTCTAGCGCCTTCTTGGCCTTTGAGCGGACACTGCTACCATACCAGCAGAGGCCAGAATTAGTAATTCGCTCCTTCACCTACATTCCTCACTGGCCGCCGGAAGGAATGGACGATTGAGTGAATTGGCTTCAGTGTCGCCGTGTGGGATTTTGTATGGCAAGTTCAGGGTTCCAGGGTTATCTGGCCGTGAACCACGCCACCTGGAGGCTGCAGTGGAGTGACGGCGATACGAAGGGGCAGGAGCAGTGGGCTGTAGTGGGATGTAGTGGGCTGTCACGATGTCACTAACACCTGCTCCACCAAACCTGTCATGCACCTGCTACAGCAGTCGGTACCAGATTCCCTCCTTTGGCCCATTTCACCCCATTCCCACCCTTTTGCACCCCACCCTCATCCCGCACTCTCTTTGCATCGCTCATCGCTCATCGCTCAATCGCTCATCGCCTCTCGCCCTTGATCGCCCATCTCTGCCCCCCATCTCAGATCTCCATCTCCTCGGCTACCTGGCCTGGCCACCCAGCCCAGCCTGACCATTCCCGTCGTCTCTCCCGGAAAAGTCTGATTGCAGCAAACCTTGGAACCTTGGGGAGCTAACTGGCGAGCGACCCTACCTGCCTACACGCCTTTTGCTTACCCTTGTCCTCTGCTAGCCGTGGAAGGGTCTGGCCAGGCTCGCGTACCCCCAACACCATCCATTCGTTCATTGCTCCTGTGTCGGGCCGTGAGGCATTTCGTCGGACTAAGCAGGACAGGACAGCAGAATTGGCCTGCCAGCCTGCCAGCCAGCCCTGCCCAGCACACCCTCGCCGACGGACCCAAGCGTCGCTCTTCCCCGGCTGTGCACACGCGCGTTGCTCCCAAGCTCGAGCCTTGGCTCAGCGTCAGGTCTGCAGTGGTCTCCGGACGGCCAGACAGGGCGATCCCTCGTTGAATGGCCATCCTCTCACCTCAACTATATCTCTATACTATTACAAGACTATCCGCCTATGCAATGCCGCATCTCGCTGCCAGCCGCCGACATGCCACCCCACCTGCCGAGACCCATGTGCCCAGGGTGGACATGTCTGGACGGGCCACGGCAGCAATGGGGAAACAGACGGCCTCAGCGCACAAGAGCAACCAGACCAGATCAAAATGGTGGCAAGCTACGATGTGCGCTCCCACGGCAGGGACAGCAGCGTGAATGAATGACAAGGCCAGTGGCAACTGTCATCGTTGAAGAGATGAAGCGGGGGACACAGCGCCATCCCATCGTACAGCGCTTTCGCTTTCTGGTCCTCTGTCCTGCCCATTTTCGGCTCTGCTCTTTTCAGACAGCCGGGATACCAGGTCACCCAAGCAGCCGTCGTCTAATGTGGTAGGCGGTCCGCCTGGTCTGCCCGCTGGCCGACAGCGCGTGCTCCCGCAACCGCCCGTCTGCGCGACTTGGACAGGGTAGAACCATGTCTGCGGTGTCTACCGTGGTACGTTCTCTCCCACCCCGCGGGCTGATGCGACTGACTGGATGGGCTGCTGGACTTCCGTCACCCTACCTGCAGCTTCAGCACGCGGCCGGTCGCTTGTTACCTCTCCAGCATCTGCGTGGTTCCTCGGTCTCGGTCCATTCTCCAGCTTCATTCCCTGTAGATTGATTATTCATGTACAACGCTCTTGTACTCCCCACGCCGGCCTTCATATACTGGAAAGCTCCCACGTTTCTTCTTACTCACGCCCACATGAACCAAAGCACTCCGCCTGCATCCTTAAAGCTCCACTTCCAAAAGAAAAGCTGCTCGTCACAGTCTCCACCTGCCTCGATTTGCGAGATCCTTAGTTCCATCTTAGACTATCTGACAGCTCAACCCACCTCGAGCGTCAACGTCACGCCGCCCGCCCAAGCACTTCCCAAGTCTGCCCAAGCACAGGGGAGCGCAGCCACCTCAGCCAACATCATCCAACCGCACACACAACAGCCCCAGCCTGCCACCCCCAGTGGCTTCCAGTCGATCTGGCACATTTGGCGCCTAATAAATTCCAATCTGTCAAACTGTCAACTGCCGCCTGCCTAATCAGCGAGGTGCCCATGTGAGACCTGCTTTTGGGCCGCGAACCCATTCATACCTTGCATATATGAACTCGCTGCCCATTCCAAGCCCTTACTCAACAATTTCAACCACTTCAAGGACCAACACACTTCCCATTCACCAGCACGGCGCACGTCGTCACAATGCCTTCTGGCTCACAGAGAAAAGACTCATTAGCGAGTCACGACTCGTACGACCGGAGGAGCAGTGAGTCTTACGGCTCACGATCTACAGCCCCCACCTCCGTCTACACAAACTCCAGGCCCTCAGAAAAGTACAGCAAACCCTACGTCCAGTATGTCGAAGGCCAACAAGACCTTTCCCCGGCTACCTCGTCATATCCACGGTCTTCCGTCGACACGTACGCATCCACCGATGCATCAGAAGAGGACCTGACCCTGGAGCGGGAGGAGGACCTGGTCAGGGCCAACGAATCCGACTACATCCCACCTCTGCCTGCTTACCACCATGAGATTTCCGAACCCAACATGCGACCCTCAACACCCAAGAACTTCTCCCAGCTGTTTCCTAGCATGAACCGTCTTTCAATAAGACATGATGACTTCACGACAGACGGCAACATGAACCTTCGTGTTGACACCATCGTGCCCGGGAGGAGGAGAACCGCCATCCAGCTCTTTCACCTGCGCATGTATGACTTGGCAAGGCGAGAGTTTTCACTTCGACGATACTGCCGCGACTCAGGCCGCGAGGTCTGCAGCTCAAAGCGCAAGTTTGTCGACCCAGCCTCGTCGAGCAGGCCCTCCCTCCAGCGGTCAATGTCTAGTGCCATGAAGGCCATGGCAAGACCCCAGGCCAAACGCACCAATTCTAGCGGCTCGTTTTCCAACAGGGAGAGACGTCCAAGCACGTCGCACTCCCGCGATACAGAAGCCGACGTCGCGAGCCTGTCCTCTCGCGCTTCAGACGGCGATCACAGGAGCCACCAGCCTCACCAGCCCACCAATTCCGTCAAGCTGGAATTCAGCAACTATGCACGTGTGGATGTGGCAAGAAAGGGGCAAAAGGCCAAGAACAACAAGCGCTACGAATTCAACTGGTGGGGCCACAAGTATGTATGGAAACGAGTCGTTGAGAAGCACCTCGACGGCGTTGTCTCCTTCCACCTCGTACGCGATGGCGAAACCACTCCCGTCGCCCACATTGTTCCGGAGACCCGTTCACCAAACCAGGTCGAAGACGATGAGGCTTCCGGGGGCTGGGTCCCGCCCTGTTTTATGTGGATCAACGACCAGTCTATCATCGACGCCGTGACAGACGTTGCCGAGTAAGTCTATCAATAATATATTACTCCGAAGATCTCATCAACTAACATCACGTAGCGTGATCGTCGCAACCGGTCTCATCGCTCTTGTCGACGACTGCATCAAAGAACGCTGGCAGCCCAAGAAGAGTCATCACATCCCTGTTCTTGGCGACGTGCAGTATGTCGGTCCCCGTGCCTTCGTGCAGCGCGTTTTCAGTTCACGGAGGAACTCGGCGAGCCAAGACCACCACCCAAAAAGCCCATTGCGCAACTCTGATGCGATAGACGTGTATTAGATGGCCCTTTTCCTTTTTCTTATTGATGTTCCTTTGATTTCCCTTCATTATAAAAAGCGGCATCACTGTATATCCATACAACATGCAAAGGACAGTCATCATCAAGCGGTCTCACAGTACCAACAGCATCACGGAGTTTGGCAACGGGCCTTCCTTTTCTCTGGACAGGGCATATGACATAGGAGGCACACAGTACAGGTCTGGTAAATTAACGGGGCAGTGACGTGAGCAAAGTTCTGTACAATACTAGTTCTGAAGGATCTCTTCACTTTATTCAAAGACATGTCTTCTCCTCCGGATGACAACGTACATCACGGAGACGAAACATTCGATCCACGACTCGGTATCAAGTTTTCCATGCTGCAAACTTTGCAAATTTGCTTTGTCTGATGTTTGCAATAAGCTTCCCGTCGCACCCATGGTGTGATCGGTGATCTTCCAGTAGGTCCCCTCTCTCATCTGCAGCCGATCATGCACTCATGAGGTTGCACGTCCTGCAGTTTACTTTGCCGTTCCGGTGTCGCAGGGAATTGCGTCCAGACCTCGCTACACGAGGGGACCGGCAGCTGGAAATACCACGGGGCAGAAGCATCGGTACCGATTGAGTTTCACGCTGCCATACTTTCTGGGACCCCAACCAGAACAACAAACCATGGCAAGCCCAGCCAGCCCAGTCAGGCGCGGCCGGCGGACAGTCGGAATGCTACCTGCCTGCCTACGCGCCTCGGGATAGGTCTGCCTACACGGGTCTATCCCGGCGCGAGCTGGGAAGCAAATGGCAGAGGACACCCCTCCCCCGCGTAGCATCCCAGGTACGATGTACCCTTGCCTGGGTTTTGATGGGAATTGGATGAATCTTGTCCCCAACGGTCGATGTATTTTCCCATCATTCTCTGTCACGTGTAGCCTGCATGTGTCCATCCATCCATCGATGGATGGAACCAACCAACCGAGCAGCAGGGCTCTTGGGACTTCGGACGAGGGCGCATGCAACTCACCACACAACCTAACTGTAGTCTAGGTACTCGCACATGCAGATCTGCTTACACCTCACACAGCAGGCGGGAACCACCCCTCCCACCCTCTCTTCACAAGCAATTCCAACCGCACGACCAATCCGGCCTGCGATGCCAATAATCGTCTTTTTTCCACCTGCACCCACCACCTCACCTCACCTCAGCGCGTTACCCATCTCAGCCCGCCCGGCATCTGCGTCTGCCCCCTTTCTTCCACCCTCCTTCTAGCCGAGGAGGGGAAGGAGACTCGAGATTGGACCCGGAGCCTGGTGGGCTCACCCTCACCCGTGATCTATCTATCGGCCGTGCGACTCGACGTCTGAAAATTGTTTCGCGGGCTGGTGGGAGTGGACGGAAGGGGTGGGGCGTTCCATTCGGCAGGGCCTTTCGCTCGCTCGCCCGAGATGGCACGACAGACCGCGTTGCACGGCAGCTGCTGCGTGGCTCAGCTTACTCTCCCTCTCCCGGGCGGGCACCGCCGGGGCGGCCGATGATAGCTCAGCTGCGTTCTTTGCTGCCTGCCTGCCTGCTTGTGAAGTGTGCGTTTTCGTGTTGACCCGTGTTCGTCTTTCTGAACCTGCTCGCTTCGAGGTAAGGGCATATGCATGTGGCTGCCTGAGGCAATGGGAGGTTAGTAAGACTAGTGTGGGGCATTTTTCCGCCGTGAAAAGGCTCTGATCCGCGTCCCGATTCCTTCTTGTGGCACCTGGCTGTGTTACACGGCCGCAATGAGATCTGCGTTCTGTCAGCTTGTGAGGTCAGCCTTGCAGAAAGGCGGGCATATGGGAGGGATTTGTCTCGGGAGATGCTCTAGTATCCTCGTCGGTCATCAGCCCTAAAGGTGGGTCTGGGGTTTCTGTTTTGCTTCTATTAATGGGACAATGCATTATCTAGGGTGGATCTAGCACTTTCGGATTTGCCGTGTCGGGTGTGTTATGCAAGCCGCGCCCAGGACAGTGAAGGCAAGGCTCTAGGTGGAGAATGCGGCTCGGGCCTGTTGGGCCTTTGATCACTCTGTTTTCTGTTCGGTGAAGGATGAGCCGCTAGGGTTGCTCGATCGAGCGCTGTACGACCAAGCATTTATGAAAACTTTTGTGATGTGATGCGCATAAGCAATAGTGCTACAAAATATACCTACGTGAACGAGTATTAGAGTACCAGCATGAAGCTCTTACACATGTGCTTGGCATCTTCTGGAAGTCTGCGAGACGTTCATCGGGAATATGCCTGGCTCTTGAGATTTTTCTTAGCATCAGTTGAGTATATCTTGGGGATTTGAAACTCTTGGGTGGCTTGAGCGACCTGGCCTAGCCTGACTTGATGGCCTGGTGTTCCCTCAAAGCGCGGCAGTGGAAGAGCTGCCTGCGATTGATATGACGGCAGTGTAGCTGAACGGTCATATCGGGCCCTCAAACCGGCAAAGCCTTGTATCAAGATACCTTGGCTGTTCCGTCATGCAATCGACGCATGAGTCTTCATAGTTATCTCTATCGGTGGATATTTTGTACCGGCATTTTTGCAATAAATCGATGTGGCTTTCACTCAATATAGCCGGGCAATGGTATCCTTTTCTATAGATTTGCATGAGCGTTAGGCAAATTCCAACAGCGGATCCAGCTGACGCATTTTGAAGTGAACGTGCAGTCACCTGAGTACAATCGAACCTCATCGCACTCCCAAATCGTATCGCAGGCTTGAGAGAATGAGCATGCACAGGGTCTTCTACCATGCAGGTAACACGGTAAGTAACAAAGCCAGTGAGAGATGCTCGCAGAGGGTAGAACTTGATACTCAGACTGTAATCGTGGTAATATTTTCACGTTGAAGCGGAAACCATATCCTGGGACGGGATGTTCGGTCCCGTCGACTTCGATTTCCCCGGAGTCTATCATGGGACATGGCTCCGAGATTAATATCGACTTATCATCTCGACCTCAGCTCCACCATTTATTACCCAGTCACCATGTTCATTAGCTCTGCGGTATTTTCGTGCCTGGTACTGTTACATCGTCCTCGGAAACCAGCTGCGACGTCACTAATGCAGATTCACACGGGAGAACACCGCGTGGCTGATGATTCTAGAGGCCATTTCGGTAGCTGAAACAAATCGATCAGCGCTCTCGGCCTGTCTTCACTGCCTGATGGAATAGAGTTTGATGGCTGCTGGAGCGTCAGCTGCTGCCCTTCAGAGTCGAGGTCAAGACAACATTAGAAGTGTTTAATACAAGCGTTTGGAGGTCCAACAGTAGGGTTAAAGAGTGGTTCAACTGAACAATTTTATGCTCACTTATGGAGCTGAGATGAGACACCAAATCAGATTGTAATAGCCAGGGAGGTTCTAGGAAAAGATCAAGGTTAGGAGTTTGAAAATTCATTTTGCCTATATAAGTCCACTTGATGACTGATCTTTCCTTCCAGATTATTTGATGCCTTCCTGGGCTAAGACCCCAGGCCAGGATTCCGGCTTATGCTACCTCTAGCCTCATATTGTTACGCACATTCCCGAATGGGGTGGCCGGATAAAAGTGCGAAGTCAAGTGAAGAAACAATATTCTCGCACATGTCAAACCAGGGTACTGACATTCGTAAGAGGGCTGCGAGCTCAGCAAGCTCAGAAGAAATTTGAACGTGCAAAGTCCAGGCTGAAAGTCTCTCAATTTTTCGCTTTTTAAATATACAACTAGAAGATCACTAGAAGTGATATCGCTAATTCATTATGACGTTCACGGATTTTCCATAACGTCGATCTCCTGGACGGCCCAGTCCTAGGTATCCTGAGCTTTCGCCGTCGTCGTTTCGTGAATATGCCAGCGTAATTAATCAGGCCTTCGGTATCACAGCCTGGATTTATGTCCAAGTGATCCTTAATTACTCCGTTTCCACCCTCCTGATGAGCTGACCGGCCGAGAGCTACTTATTGGTTGCAGCACCTGGCCGAAGTCAAACCACCGCTGTAAAACTGCGTGCAAAGCTTTTCACCAGGAATAGGGTTAGCAGATAGAAGAGCAAAGGGGAAATGCTTTTAGAGAATAGGGCTTCTATTACCGGATAGTTGGGGTCCCGAACTTGGCAGTAATTCCAGTTTTGTGGCTGGCCGACTGGGGCACCGCAGCCCCAAGAGTTGCCAATATACTCGACACAAGCTCTCTTCTCCACTGCAGCAGCATCCACTGCAGCGGCAGCGAGGCAGAGAATAGAGATGGCAGTGAAACGCATATTGTTAGGCGCTTTGGTCTTTAGGATTAGATTCTTGAAATAGTGAAAGAGAACAAATTAAGGCTGTTGTGAATGATGTGGAATCAATCTTGAATTGCGCAAGAACTGATCTTCAATATTTATACAGTTCGCACTGACCACAATACTCACATACTATACAAATATTATTGAAGATCACTATCCATACTTTGGTTTCTTGTCAGCTTATTGTGGAGGGCTTTTCAGCTCACTGTTGTTAGCGCTGACATCTGTGGAGCCTGGTAAATTGAAAGAGCAGGACAACTAGACGCGGACAGTCGCCGAGTGTCCAGCGAAGGATCCCAAAACAAAGCAACTATCCTCAATACGTCCATAAAAGATGATTTGGGGCCCCCTCAGATCCAAAAGGAATCAATTCAGAGGATTGCAGCCTGAAGTAAATCAAGGGCTAGTGGGATGACCACAGGGCGGTGTATGCTTGTGTAACCAGCTGCCTGCCCAGCGGCTGTGCACACCCAAGTATACACTCTCCGTGTCATATATTACCGCCCTTTTCGAAGACTATGGTTATTACTCCCGACATGTTGGCACGACTCGTACATTGTGAGTCGTCTGTTCGGGTTGTGCGGGTGAGGCGGAAGGATTCGTGTTGAACATCTCACCATTGGGAGACACTAGATGCGATTCGGACGACGATCATAATTTGGCAAAGGACACTTCAGGCCGGGGGACACCAACTAGTCTATGAAGTTGATGATCCACCGCGTACATAGCCACATTGAGCAGCAGCAGTCTAGTATAATCGACACTTGTTTCTATGTCACGCGCAAAAATTGCCGATCGTCACTGCTTTGATGTTCTGGTACTCAGCCATGCCGTGATATTTGATTCCTCCCCGCCCATGCCGCTCCCATTGACGCAGCCAAATGGCCTCGCTGCAGAACCGGTCAGGCCTTCATGTACGCCAATCATGCCAAACTCGAGTACTTGGCCATAAGCATGACACACCCGATGTCTTTGCTGTAGAATACCTCAGGTAGACCGTGTTCCAAGCACCATGGTTTCGTTCGGCGTCCGCACTTCCACCCTCGTCTTGCGTTTCTTTCCACTAGCATCAAGAAGCCCTTCTTTCACCTTCAACCAAGAGCACCAATGAATACTAAGCATCAACGTCCAAGAGCTTGAGTATCCTCGCAACGCCTTGTTTGTCACTTTCAATTGTCTCTTGTAAATCTTCATCCACCCCACCATCTGTCCAGTCGCCACCGAAGTCGATTATCCACGCATCGTCATTCAGATCGATGATGATGTTGCTTGGCTTTGCATCACCCCAGATTCCTCCCAAGGTATGTAGGGTTTGAATCGTCTCCCTGATTTTGCCTGCTCGTTTCCCCCGCAGTTCCTGTAGAGCATCTAGATCCTGACTTATGGTCTTCTCGAGATCCCGGAGTTTGTATTCGGAGGGTATCCACTCCTGTAAAAGCCCCAGGATGACCCCATTTCCCGGGTACTCAACATAGCCTTTAAGCGCTAGGACTTGTAAAGCTGCCCTTCTATTTGCTAGACCGGGAGAAGCCTGTGAGATTCTCTGAAAGCAGTCGATCTCGCGCACAAGGCTTGAATTTCGGAGTCCGTCTCGCATAGCTTTACACAAGAATGTTTAATTTGGCCCATCAACTGTAACTAGACAGACAGTGCCATCGCCCCAGATGAATTCCTCGATGACTCGAATTTGATGAGTTGAATATCGGAGTAATGAATCATCGGCTTGTATTTGAGCTTGGTTCTCCAGTAGGGCCCTCCCATCGTCGAAAGGTATGCAGTATGCTTCACTTGGTGCTATTGGTATAAGGACAGGTCCATAAAGTCTAGTTGTCGATTGTAATCGGTAATGCGATGCTTTCGGATACAGAATGGCGTGCAAAGAGGAACCTTGGCTCGGTTGATGCTCATTAGTTGAGTTTGCAGCTGTAGACTCAGATTCCGAGATTATGGCCTCAGCTGCCTAATGAATGGGGTCGAGAGCCTCGTCCATTAAAGTTTGCTATTCGTCGTCATCATCTGTAACGAGAGATTGACCAAGGAGCATAATTAGCTTGTCGACTAATGGCAAGCTTTGTGACTCCTCATCGGAGGTTTCTGTCGTTTCGGATCTGAACAGAGACACAACAACGCGCTCGCCAGTCTTTTCCAGCCGAGAAGTGACCTGAGTACCTTCATGCTCGTCATGGTCGCCAAAGATTGCAAATTAGTCCATTTTGAGCGACGTTCCCTGCAATGGCCGGAGACGGCACTGGGACGTCCGCCAAGTGTCAAGTTCGTACAAAAGGTGTGAGTGTGAAGTCGAGGCGTAGCTGAATGGGGAGACAGAAGCTCTTTACGTAAATACTTTGCCCGTAGTCGCCCTCACAATCAGTCGCAGTTGGCGATCGGTCATCGCGGCAGATTGAGAGTTTTGCTGTAGGAGAGATGATCCACCTGTGCCGCATTCTGTATAGAAACGTTGAAAGGTGCAGGCAGCAGCCCCAACGCTATTTATTTCGGCACCCTTGTCACGCCCTCACTGTCTCTGCTTTTATCGAAGTGCAACCTCGCCTGTTCTTCGCGCGAGATTCAACTGGTTCATTGTTCTTAACTCAAGATCACTTCACGTCGATGCACAATAGCAGTTGTCCACTTTGCACCGATGATGGCCAACTTGAATGATCAGAGCAACGGCTCACACACAGACTATGAGGCCATCCACGCGGTTGACGGAGTCACGGCTTTACCAGTCACATCGGCCAACACGGCGCTCGAGGATCAAGAAAGTCGCGATAGACGTGAGTCTAGATTTGCGGGGGCTGCCGACTCCACCTCATCGTCGGCCGCAGAAATAGGGAGTCCAGGTCCAGTCTCACCACCACTGCAACCACAATCGTCTCTACTGCTGTGGAATACACGGGAAGGCAGAATTGCTGGATACAAACGCATGATCCAGACAAATGACCTTCCAGAGCAGCGGGCCAACTTCGAGGCGCTTATAAAGTACTACGGAGATGGCGGCAAAGTTCCTGAAGGAGATGAGGAGGTTTGGGCATTTGATGGGCAGGTCTCCTTTGGCATCAGGTTCTACACAAACCTCAATCAGCCGCCTGACGGATGCTTTAAAAAGCACAGGTACTGTGATGTAAGAGGCTACCGCATCCGCTGATACTGGTCCTGGGGTCCCACAACCATTGCCACCTTTCCTAGACCCGGCCATAGCTCAAATCTGAGTTGCTGACTCTTTTCTCTTTTGGCAGAGCTCGAAGTGGCATCAACTCAATTATGTCCCTAAGCCCCATGAGTATTTGATTGCTGATGCTAGGGGAAGAGTTATCCTGTAGAGAGTTTGACAATGTTGGTGTTGACGTGGAGTATGGGCTCTTTCAATTGAATTTATCGCATTTGAAGTCCCTTATTCGCACAGCTTAGAATACAGTTTCACAGATAGCATAGGCAATTTGACTTGAGTTGAATCTTGAACTTTCCAAGCAAGGCAAAGTCCTCACCAAAGACATTGCTGAAGCACTTACTAATTATTTTTCAAGCTCTTAAGGTAATCTCCCAATTTCTCATAGGCAATAATAACTACAAGTGTGATTTGAATGCTAAGCCACATGTCCGTCAGCCATACATTAGCATTCCTCTAGATACTAAGTGCCAGCCGCACAACACAAGCTGCCCAGCTCGAGCTGAAATCCAGCATGGTTGCACTCACTTCACTATCATGGGCACCTGCAAGGTCGTACAATTGGGCCGCAGGACGAGCGCTTAGAGGCCTACCGGCTAATAGAGTGGACTTTATTTGCCTACCTCGCCTTTCAGGCGCTAATTATGATCGACATAGACCACAGGTGAAGGATTCTGGTTGCATCGGGTTCTGACCGATGCCAAGGTGTACAGCATCATGGATACTCGCATCAGCAGAACATTGGCCTTCTTTAAACAACTACCTATGTGCCTCGGCAGATAGTTGTTGCAGCCTGCTTCAAGCCAGGCCACATCTATGCATCGCGATATTGGTGCAGTGGTTATTTGCAGAATCAAAAGACCAGAAAGCGGTTTTGTTCAAGCGTATCTCGTTTTGCTTTTGAAGGATTATTGCCAAGAGCGCAGGCATGCTCATGAAACTGCATAAGGTGCCTCGGTCGCAATGTAATTCGTCGAATTGGAGCAAGAGAAGATGACTGCAGGTACATCGAACCTTGGGGCTGTCATGTTACCCGGTTACTTGCATCTCGGAAAATCAGGCAATGGGGGGCCAAAAAGCCGCCCAGATTCTAGGTGTCATCCAAATCCCAGGCCAAAGCAAGGTTGTTCAATGATTGGACTGCCTAGGCATGATCAGTTCATGGCGCTTTCGCTCATTATCAATAATTTTCCTCAAGTGATCTATTCTCCCTTCTCTTCTCTTGTTGTGCCAATCTTCTGCTAGAGTTGTAGAGAATGTATTTCCCGCGTTGGCTTCTCGCAACGCTCCCACTGGCGTCCCTGTCATCTGGCCAGGATTGCTACTGGCCCAACGGTGGGACGGCATCCACGTTGAAGGCCTGCTCGGTAGCTTCCAGCAATGAGGCTGCCGCGTGCTGCTTTGCGAATCATTACTGCATGACCAACGGCCTTTGCCTGTCGCCGACGGAAGGAACATGGTACCGCGGCGGATGTACGGATGAACAATTCCAAAAGACCGGATGCCCGAAATTTTGCGATACTAGTGACATTGTAGGCGCAAGTAAGTCGATTCTCCCATTGTTCGATCGTGATCCCGACGCGAGTCTCACAGGTGATGGCTGATCCACCGCCCTCCTCAACAGCATCCGACCGTCACGTCGGCGTGTGGGCATGCGCCTCCAGGGTTTTCGCCTGTAACAGCCTCGACAACTGCTCCAAGCAGAACTTCACTGTCGGTTCGTACAGGGCGGTGATAAATGCTGCCCTGTCAACGGACCTCTTCGACAGCGGGGCAACAGTGACGACTTCTATCACGAGCTCGACGAGTGTAAGCACAGGAGCGGCCAGCGCCGCGAGTTGTACGTCTACGCAGCAGGCTAGCCAGGGAATCACGACAGGTGCGGCAGCCGGGATCGGAGTGGGTGTCGGCCTGCCGTTGGCTATCGCGGTCGGCGCGTTAACCTTTATGCTCATGTGAGAGAAGAAGAGATCGAGAGTCGCACAGGCGGGCTCTCAGCATCAGTATGGCTACAGCCAGCAGCCTGGCTACACTCAACAGCCTGGATTCAACAATCAGCAGCCATACACCAACACGTCTTCGCCGTGGGGAAAACCAGAGGGACACTATGCTCCCACCGCCGAGGTCCCGGGACAAATGGTGCCACACGAGCTAGCAGACACCCAAGGCAGACACGAGCTTGGTCGTTGATCGTGAATGAATAAGTAGAGCTCCTTCACTATTTCAAATCACGCGGTCGCCATGGTGGGTCGATGAAACCTAGTAAAGGGGCACTGCACTGGAGGCGGCTGTCAACGGTACCATCTTGGCAATCCTAAAGGAGCATTGCTGCGAAATGCGGGCCGACGGAGCTCGAGGGCTCGGATGAGGATGTGTCAGACTATGAGCTTCAGGAGCCAGGCTGTTGCACCCAAGCAAACCTAGCAAAGGTCTGCATTCGTGCATGGGGGAGGGGGGTGAGCACGTCTTGGGATCGCCATGGCCGGGGGCGGTCGCACGGGCTTTTACGGATTCATCTTTCTCCCTCGACGGCCGGATGCCCTGAAACAATGTGCCTGGGTAGTCTCTTTCTCTTCGACCGCCGAGCTGAACTGAGCTGTCCGTACCGAAGACGTTGTGCCGCGATGGGGTGCTACTAGATGGATGGAGAGATAGTGGGATGATTGGCGTGCTGGCTGACGTTCAGTTGATCGGGAAGATAATCCGATCTTGTGAATGCAAAACATTTTGAATAGATATTAACTTAATCGGTATCCCTATATCACCGCCTTACAAAGAGTAGATAATCTCCAACCAGCTATACTCATTATCAATTGCTGAGATCCAAAACATTTCAGAGCTTGGAGCTATGAAACAGTAAAAGTAGCCGGGATTTCGAACGTTCAAGCCGGGCTATACAAGAAGAAGCTGGATAGATGGAACGTCAACTGTATCCAGAACTTTGGACGCCCGCCATCCTAACAGTAATATGAGATGATTGCAGGAACGCATTTCGCTTTCAGGTCATGCTGTCCGTATGCGCTTCACTATCATACATTTGTAAACACCTCTGGCAGTCTTTCGTCCTCGTAGTTGGGTACAGTGGTAGGAGTTGGAAGAGTTGGAAGCACTCGTGCTGAACCACCCGAGCTGGTCCACCAACAACAATTTTCAATGCCGTTGAATGTTTCAACTGTATCGTTCACCGATGGGTATTTATCGTCTTCTTCGGGCAAATTTTGAAACTCGAGTCACTGAGAACGCCACTTGGACAGCTACCAGATTGCTTGACGCCGTCCTCAAACAGGAGTAAGCTGAAAGCGGTACCGATACAGGGCCCAAGTTGCCGCTGCTATTGCACCGAAGACCAGCACATTCTTGATTGCGCCCATGATGTACTTTTTACCGATTCTCATTTCCTGGCCTGCCCACCCAGCAGCGGCGTTGACGTGTGGGAACGGCTCGTCAGGCACTGGCTTACCCAGAAATTCACAAAGTGGCTCCCATCCGTCCTCGACCGACCACTCAAGCAGCCGTTCCTTGGGCACGAGTCCACGAATCATATTACAGTGTTCTAAAATGGCCAGTACTGATCAGCTAAAGCAGCACATATGGGCAAGCTGGTGTCAGGATTGTCAACGTCTGACTCCTTCAACTTACCACGATACACCCACTTCCCATTCCTAGCCATACCAGTCTGAATATTTCCATCTAGCGCCCGGAACAAACCGGGCCACATAAATCGTACATATACATGCCTAGAGTATGTTGTGTTAATGACCGGGACACCAAAGATAGAGACTCATGGGTGCAACACAGCGACTTTCACAGGCCGCAGCCTAACACATCACTTCGACTAACGAGAAACAGAGCTCAAGAAAACGGAAAATTTACGTCCTTAGAAGTGAATAAATGATTTGCGGAAGCAGCTTACCATGCCCAGAAACAGTCCCGACTGAGGAAGGACAGTGCCAGAAGGGGCCAGTGGCCATTTGATCGCATGAGCGTAGTCGTTGCACTGTGATGCCACGCGTCTAGATCCCTACGGTAGTTGAGGACGACTTTGGCATCCGGATATGCGCCAATGAGCTCGGCAGCAAATACAGAGCCAGCTGCGTCCGTTACTGCAACAGAGTGACCTATGAGGGGGTCGAAGTCCTCAGCCGTGAACGTGGTGTTGCCGTCTAAGGGCCCGAAGAATCTTGATAGAAGGGCAGTGTGATTAGTCAAGCGTCTTTTTAATTTCTTCTTGCAAAAAGCTGTGAGTAGTCTTGTCTTACTTTTTTCGACACAATTTGACCCATTGTTGGGAGTAGTTTGGCTCCTCATAAATGATGTCCCACCCATGAAATGTGTGGTCGTAGCCTAGTGTTAGCAGTGCGTGCTGGAGCGACTCGGTCGCAGAGCGCGGCATCCCCACGCATAGGACCTGCATGGGCTTAGTCCGCGTGCGAGGCGGCGGCTCGGGCATAGCGTAGACATAGTTCTCGAGAAATCGAAAGAACCAATTATTCACTGTTGGCATTTTGGCGACTGTCAAGGCTTCCAAAAAAAAAAGTATTGGGGATGGAGGACAAGTGAAAGATGAAATTCAGTGCGGTGTGATGGGCGGACCTAAAGGGTCTTACAGCCCACTGGAACCGTGCCTGATCTCAAGCGACCGCTCACTTCAGAGCGTACCAGCACCAGGAGTCTACAGTCCTCCCCACTGGCGTTGACACTCTGACTGGACCAACAGGTGGGGTTTGGGGCTGCCGGATAGAGTGCAGGTAAGCTCCGCAGTCGTTTGGTAAATTGTGTCTGTAGGTAAAGACGCGGAAGGATCCCTACCCTGGATAGATTGACACCTAAGGAGGCGCAGAAGCTTGTTTCTTGCAGTACTGTAGTACACATGAGATGACCACACTGTATTGGCGCACTGTATGCGTCCTGCGTGCGGCAATCTCACCGTACCAAGAAATGGTCACAGCAAGCAGAACGGGAATTGTGCTTTGAAATTGAGGCTCTTTGCGGCTGGCTTGAAAGTTCGCAACATGGACAGGATCAGGCTTTAATTGCCATTGCAGGATATTCACACACTTACAAAGCAGCCCTCAGAGTGCATTACCTTGAACAAACTTAGCATTTATGTTGCGCTGCACAACCCCTTGTCGCACCTGTTAAAGTTGACCATTCCTTCGGGTGGCCAGAATACACTGCGCATCTCGACGATCTGCACCCGAAGCAACTTGTTTCCTCTCTTTAGTCTCTCGCTTCCTCTCGGAAGTAGTCGGAGCTTACAGATTCATTTCCAAAGTTGCGGTGCACACCTGCTCAGCAATCCGCCTCCGCTAGATTATGTTCAGTACAAATAATGCCTGACGCCAGAAATCGAACTAGTCGCAACGCATAAGTTGAATCATGGGACTAGCTTAGCTTCTCCCTCACCATCACACAAACTCGACGTCTTGTCGGACTTCTACGACCTTCATCGGGTAAGATGGATTCACGGTCTGGTCCGAAACTCTGTGGTAGGATCCTGTGTCAAATCCATAACCATCCGATGGCCGACCGTCCGATGGCCGACCATCGTTTTGATGTACCGCAGAGACCTGTGTCCAGGCTAGGTTTGGCTGGCTGGCGCTCATCGGAACCCACGATCCACTCTTGCTTTGGTCAGTGCTGACGGCTGATCTGCCCTTAGATGATCGCAAAGACGAAAAGAGGGACGATAATGGCTTGGGCATTTCCAGACCAGCGAACAAAGAAGGGAAAGACGGTGCGCAGCAGCACATGATGCTAGTAGCCATTTGAGTGATGTCCCAGATTGGGTCAAGAATGCTTGTGTCTATAGATGTAAAGAATTAGCAAGTTCGCTTCTTTAAATTTACAGCAGCTATGTCCCCCGTCGCTTGCACTGTGATTCAAGATTGGAACTGGAGTTAAACTCACATGCAGCTGAGTAGGCCTCGGCAATCTTGATGAAACCAACGATACCAGACCTGTAGTCACGTCAGTTTCTCGTACTTCGTTAGGTAGTGTATGTGAACGTACAAGCTCCCCACCGAGAACAAGATGCTCAGCCTGAACTTCTCACTAAAGCTCATTTGGAGAGTGGCGACGATGCGAATGGCCATGGCGATCATCACGAAGTCGATCACCGAGTTAATAGTCTCACTTGCAGCCAAGAATGCAGGTATCTCAATGCATTTTCCTCCGGACAAGGTCTTGTCCCAGGTGTATGCCACCGGCCAACAAAGCATCCACTTGACGAGATATACTGAAATAGTCCAGAGAACCGTGAGAACGCCGATGCACCACAGCCAGCGGACAAAGCGTTTGTTGATCCAGAAGATGCGATGGTAGAATAAGAGCAATGTCAACTTCGTGAGCAACTGGTTGGGGCAGAATTGCGGCGACATTGCCCATCCAACCTGGAGACTTGGTAAGTGTGCTATTCCTTTAGACTAGAAAATGGGAAACCCACTTTCAGCACGTGAACAATTGTCTCCGGAGGACCCATCGCAAGCTCTGTCAGGCTTTGGCCGTTCAGCACTGTCAGGACTATTGGGGAGGGTAAGGTCAGCTTGAAAATATTCGGAAAGGCCGGCAGCATGGTGGATTAAGTGAGACATACGGTACAGAAACATGAGAGTGTACACCAGAAAGAAGACCAGGGATGCCAGAGCCAGCCAACTTTCAAGGTTCACCTTTCCTGTGGTCTTCTTCGAGGCTGCGAAGCGCAAGCCTGTCGCCAGACAGCACATCGGAATAGTCACCACACATAAAATGAACCCTCCGAGTTGCTGTGAGTCTTTCCATACTTCAAGAGCCATCTTGGATTCGTGCGGACTGATTGTCGTTTCAAGCTGCCGTGGAAGTTGCAGTGTGCGCCAGAGAAAGTACCAAGGCCAAGCAAAGCGGAGAACACGGGAGAGAACTTGGACTCGGGACGTTCCTGATCAGAATGTATAGGTCTTGGGACGTGTCCTCGGCCTCAGAGACTGGTTGCCTAAGTGGTGGGTATACATTTGTTGGTGGTGCGGGCCCTCAGTCCAGGGAAAGCCATCCTTCAAGAGATCATGAGATCTTCATGAGCAGATAGCCTAAACGAGACGACTCCTTCGTAAGCATCAGGCAAAAATTCTTTAAATACATGAGTGGAGAAGCCGTGCAGCAACATATTTTCGGAAACAGTCCATGGCCGTTGATAACGGTGTGGCAGGCGGTGCCAGGCGGAGTCCAGAATTCCTGCACAGTGAAGTTTTCGCATGCAGATCTTCGCACAAATGAAGGATGGTACAGCGAATGGAGATTCCTGGAAATAACACTTTCATACTCGCAGAACGATATCGGCGAGGCTTCTAACCAAGACGCAGCGACGCGACGGGTATGTTGGCAGCTAGAAGCGAGAAATCGCTCCACTGCTGTCCCGCTCACTAGCGCCAACAGCCACCGCTGAAAGCAGTCAACAAGCCTCGCGAGTGGAACATTGAAATCCTTTGGTACAAATCTGCCAACGGCGTGGTGGTGGGTCTTTCTTTCTCCATAAGCACCGGCACGTCAGTCTTACAGCCCCAGTAAGGCCGAGTGTGACGAGGCGGCTAACTTCCCTGACAAGATCGGTGTACGGATTGGAATGGAATCTGTCGGTCACGAACTATGGTGTTGACTGAGAGTAATTTCTATTGGCTAACGGAGAAGTGGAACATATTGAATCACAAGCGTGGAAAATGGGTCTCAAAGTCGATCTCTAGACTACGAAATTCTGCTGCCCAAGCCGAAAACAGTTTGCTCTCAGCGAATCCTGTGGCCGATTATTTGGGGGGGGGGGGGTGGGCGATCTTCTTCACAGCAAGCCATTCTTCCAATGAGTACGAAGAGACACGTAACGCACGCGATATGTAGCAAGTTCGAGTTTTGGCTTTTCGTGCGATTGAACTTATTGTATTTGCAGGATGAATTCTAAATGATCTACATAATTCAATGGTCCAATTGAAGGAAGTAGCCTCCTAGGTATTATGTTGTTGTTCCTAGCTCAGGTTTTGCACAGCCTGCCGCTGTCATCTGGAGACCAATAATCGCTTCCGACGCCTGTATAGGCATAGAATAGATGGTCAGGATCGTACTTGTTCTTGACTTGGAGAAGTCGGTCATAATTGGATCCATAAAACTCTTGTTTCCAGTTACCCTTGTACCAAGAATCAACCTCATTGAGGTAAGATCCCGAGCCTGGCGTCACAGCTTCAAAAGCTGGGACTATCTCGTCGACAAGGTAAGCCTTCCGCTCCCACATGTCAGCCATTGGCCCAGTCCAATTCCAATAGCCTATAACAGTGCAAATTCCAAGGACGTCGCGAAATGCGGGCAGTACTGCATTGTCTGGGTGACCCGTGCTGCTGTTGACATGAACAGCCATGCAACCAAGCCAGAAATATCCGTCCTGGTATGTCGTCATGTTTCTGATAGTCTCAACTAAAGCCGAATTGGTCGTGGCGTTTTCAGACACGGAGCGAGGGAACAGGCGGTTGCTGAAGAGGATGTCCCCAGGCCACGGTCCATAAGGAAGTGGCCCAAGATCCCTGTCGTAATGCGCGTAATAGCTCGTGGAGGTGTGGGAGGAGTATGAGTACTCAATGCCCAGTGTTTTCAATTGCGCCAGATAGGGAGCAAGCAATGTGTCGATATCGCTGGTGCTGCCACCAGGGATGGTGAAACTGATAGCAGCGAAAGCAGTGCCAGTCACCTCAAACTCCACCGTATTTCCGCCATTAAGTCCGTCTGTGTATGAGGGCAGATACGCGTACCATTCCTCAATAGCTTTCCAGAACGTGTCTGCGTCCACATTTGAGGCATTATACGTCAAAGAGGCACCGCCAACCGCAGCATCCGGGAAAATCCTGGTGGTCATTGAGATGACGACTCCCCAAACGCCACCGCCGCCACCGCTTGCCGCCCAGTACAAGTCGGAATACTCGTTATTAGGGGTTGCAGTGATGTGCAGTCCTTCTGCTGTCACGATCTCCCACTCAAGCACGTTATCGGCTGCCATACCGTACAGCCCATTAATGAGCGAGTGACCGCCACCAGCTGTATACCCACCCGCAATGCCTGTACTGGCGCAAGTCCCGCCGACAACACGGTAACCGGCTTCAGCAACAGTCTTGTATAGGAACCCGGCGATGACTCCAGCACCTACTTTGACAGCAGGTCCGGTGTAGTAGTCGCTGATGAATTCGGGAATTATCACAGACTCGTTCAGGTAATGGGTCCATAGCGATAGCGAACCTTTACCGGTTGATTTTCCCATGAAACTACGATAGAGAGTAAGCTTAATTCTAGTAATGATCCATTGTCCAGTGAAGGGGATACTCACTCATGCCCTGTGTTTTTTATCACTAGGCGGACATTGTTCTCCTTAGCAAAATTTATTCCCGCAACGACATCATCCACTCCGGTGACGTTGATAGAGTAGCTTGCATAATTTCCAAGCTCACAAGGCTCGGTGGCGGGCGTAAAGGGGTCGCATGATTGGTTCTGAAAGGCCGCGTTCATGATGTCTGCCGGGTGCAAAACACTACATAAAAGAGAGCCATGTCAGGGGAAATGGTTAATGTTTTGTGCTGAGAAGGTAGAGCTTACTGAGTCTCGGCCAAGTCCCATTCTGTCTGCAAAGCTGCACAAGCCGTCTCGTCGAAGACGTGATACGGGGAGGTGTGGCAGACACTTGCAATAGGTACAGTTGCAATCAATCGGCCAGAAACAGTCTGATTGAGGTTTTCCCATAGTGAATCTATTGGCCAATTGGGGTCACCAGGAATGCTCATGCAAGACCTGTTCGTTGCCCCTGCCCTGACGGCCACAAACAGCACACCAAAGGCCAAGAGGGATTTGACTGAATGGCACCCCATGACAAAGGGTTTCAGAGAGAAACGTAGGCCAAATGTGAAAATACTGGAGGAATCTGCGAGCAATGTACGGGTTGCTCTTATTAAATACTTATATGTCCTGCCCAGGTGGGTGACTATCACGCAGTCTTGTACGGAGGGGCCGCCAGATCCCAACATTCCCTCACAATCCAGCGCACCCTGTGAGATGATGCTCGGTGTACCGGTAGACAGCCCACGGCATGGCAACATAAAGAACGAGTTGAAGACTAACAAGGAAGCGGACCACCTTGTGCTGTGCCTTTGATGTGTACCCGTTTGTTCCTTACGGTCATGGTTCCACATTGTCGGGACCAAGCGACTGGAGTAAAATCCGCAGGCATGGAAGTGCCATGACAATCATCGTCCCATCTTCCCCGTCCGCATATCACGATGTGTCAGTTCCCACTTGCATTGGTGGAAAGCTAAATTCTCACGTCCAAGGGAGATTCCAATGAACATGCCTAACCTTCAACCTATAAAGTGGATATCAGTTCCACTTCTACGAGTAGGATTCAGATGTGGAGCACATGAGGCTGTTCGGTATCTTGATACATTCACGCCTGGCGTGTCCATTTATTTAAGCGCCCATAGTACCCTGTTGCGGCCCCCACATGCGGTGGAAACGTGTCTGAGGTGGTACGTGGTCACTGCGAGTTTGCGGCTCAATTTTCGAACTTCAACCATAAACGGACGCAGGATAAATTTACCGTAGTACAACACTCCACACAGAAATGGGTCTTTCCCGACCCGGCGCCCTTCCACGTAATTGTTGGCACCATATCCCAGTAATTCCGGTCCTCTTTACCTGTGGGACACTTGCGTACTGTATGCAGCAACATCCAGATGCACATGAGCAATATTTGTCTTATTGTTGCCAGTGATTCCCCGCATTCAATGTTACTATTGCTGCGTTGTTCAGTATGTATGCCGTTTACACTGTGCGCACAGAGTACCTTTTCTTTTCAGCTGGCAAGGGGCTCCAAGTCTGCGGTCATGTACGATGCGCCATGTCGAGCAACTCGTACAGTGACTGCTTTCAAGCCTGCAACTACTGCTCAGGACCCCCTGCCCCTTTTACATCCCGACTTTCTGGTCGCGGAGGATGGAGGGTTCTTTGGCATCCTTGTAATTCACATTGCATCGCGATTGAGACCCTCTGGACTTTGTTCCATGCACCTGGATCCCCAACCTTCATCAGTCTCTTGCAACCCACCTGTTGTAACATTTGAATGCCGTGTCTTCTCCCAGATTTCTCCGGCTCGAATGACCATCTCGTCCATTCATTGATCAAAGGGCACTCACAGTGATTCGTAATTTCGAATCACCCGGAAGGAACAATGGCTCCCTCACTTTCAAGTATTTGGACAACGTCGTTTCCCCCCAAGCCAACCTTCACGGAGAAGGATGTCCCAGACCTCAGTGGGAAGGTTAGCCAACAACAGTTCCTCATTTCACATTGGACACTGTGACTGTCCCGGGGTATTCTACTTACCAGTTTTCTATTTCAGGTCTACCTTGTCACCGGCGCCAACACTGGTCTTGGGAAAGAGTTATCACGCATGCTCTACTCAAGGAATGGCAAAGTCTACGTGACAGCACGCACTGAGGAGAAGGCTAGTAAGGCAATACAGGACATTCAAGCCTCTGTACCGGAATCCTCAGGCGCATTAGTGCCTCTCGTCCTCGATCTTGCAGACCTCAGCACTATCAAAGCCTCGGCAGAGCGCTTCACGTCCGCTGAGTCGAAACTTCATGTACTATTCAACAATGCTGGGTACATGGGGCCTGAGAACAAGGTGGATCGAACACCGCAAGGTCATGAAATGCACTTCGGTGTCAACTGCTTGGGACCATTCCTCTTCACAAAACTCCTGACTCCCACTTTGATCGCCACAGCACAAGACAAGGCGACGCCACCCGGCACAGTCCGCGTTGTCTTCTTGACTTCTTTTGCAGCCGATATCTTTAGCAACAAGAACACTATTGTTGACATGGACAACCTGGACTTCCACGTCAACAAAGATGCCAAGTATCGCTATGGAGCCAGCAAGGCGGGTGATTGGATCTACGGTTTTGAGATGTCCAGACGCTATAAAAGTGATGGTATTATTGGACTAGGTGTCAACCCTGGAAATCTCAAATCAGACCTTTTCCGACAACAAAGTGCTATTTTCAGAGCCTTGACAGGTCCAATGAATTACCCGGTTGTCAACGGCGCGTACACTGAGCTGTGGGCAGGCTTGTCCCCCGAGGTTACTCTTGAAAAGGCGGGAAGCCTCGTGTATCCCTTTGGGCGCTTTGGCGCGATTCGGAAAGACTGGACAGCGGCGACGAAGCCAAGTGCCGAGGGGGGCAATGGAACCGCACAGAGTTTCTGGGATTGGAGCGAAGAGCAAGTGAGAAAGTATCTCTAGTGGCGACCAAGCCATTTTTCGTAATCAACTAGAGAGGAACGACGCTCGCGGGCCAAGCATGTATGTGCAAGCAGGGGAACAGATTCTAGAACCGAGTGGCCTTATTTTCCGGCTCTGGATTATCATTGAATACTAGTCAATTATATTGCATCCTCTGCTATAGTCACAAAACTCGTCTCGTCCAGGCTACCAAGGTGTGCAATAGGCATGTGAGCGTGCCAAGGTTGTAGTTCTTTTCCAGATTTCGCTCGCTGAATACTAATCACTGCCACGAGCACTTAGTCAGTCAACTAGCTCGGATATACCGAGATCCTCCTTTGCGTTGGAGTTGACAGACTGTGCTAATGAACGCAATTGCGCCAGCATACATCACACAACCAACGCGTTGCATCTCCACTTAACACTGTTGGAGGAACCACGCCTATCTGCATCGAACAACCAACAGAGTGAAGACCCCACTTCAGTCATCTCACCCGCATGAAGCCATCGACGAGATATTGTTATGTCGCATTGGTTCTGGGTTTGGAGCGCATCGGTGCGAACATAAAAGTGCGTTGGTTCGACTTAAACAACATCGCTCGTCACTCGTGTCAGAAGCCAATACCACAGACTCCGTTGAATATTTCGACATGGCGCAGAAGCAAACAGCTCTTATTCAGTCACAGGAGGCGGATCGCGCCGGTTTCCTGTCCCTTACGACGTCCAATACCGATGCTCTTCCACCTTTGCCATCGCCATACCACATCCTCGTCCGCGTTCTCATGGTGGCTCTGAATCCCAATGATCACAAGATGCTAGCCCATTACCCCATGCCAGGGCACGGGGTGGGGTGCGACTTCTGTGGGATTGTGGAGAGTGGGGGTGATGTCGAGGACAGTCCTCATGTACACCGGCGAGGTACCAGGGTATGCGGCACGGTATTCCCGTATGCAGCAGTGGATGCCAACAACAACCACCATCGCATGGGATCTTTCGCCGAGTACGTCGTGGTCGACTCGCGTCTTTTGCTGAAGGTGCCTGATCAGTGGAGTGACCTACAGGGGGCGGCCCTCGGAGGAGTGGGCTGGTCGACTGTTGGTCTCGCGATGTCAGGCAGCGACGCTCTGGCGCTTCCGGGCCGCCCCTCGATGCCGGCAGGAGAGAAAAGGCCCGTCCTGGTCTATGGTGGCGGCACAGCTACCGGTACCATGGCCATTCAAATTTTGCGACTGTACGTTCCGCCTCGGCCTAATCCCTGTCCCAGCTTTTATGCTCGGAGTAGTTTTATCTAGCATTGCATGCTGATTTGTCCTATGCTTCTTCTAGGTCTGGATACTCCCCGATTGCTGTGACCCAATCTGCTGAGTCTGCAGCGCTGGCTAAGCAATACGGCGCAGCCAGCACGGTCCGTTATACTGGAGGTAACATGAAGGACTGCCTTGAGACTGTTCGCAGCCTGACAGCGGACGGTCCACCCCTGCGGCACGCCCTGGATTGCATCACTGATGTCGACTCGGCCGCGTTCTGCTTCGGTGCAATCACGCGTACAGGGGGTCGCTATGCTTGCCTAGAGCAGTTTCAATCCGCATGGCGCACCCGCCGCGTGGTCCAGGTGAAGGAGGTCATGGGCTATGAGATATTGGGACGGGCGGTGGATCTTGGTGGGCCGGAATCCACCTACACCCGTGGAGTCAACCAGGCAGCCTTTGAGTTGGGGCAAGCATGGGCAGGAGAGCTGCAAGCCCTTTTGGACAAGGGTTCTCTTCAGGCCCACCCGATCCAACAAGTCTGCTCAAATGAGGAAGGGAACAGCTGTCCATGGGCCCGGGACGTGATATCGGGACTGCAGACACTGATGGCGGGTGACGTACGGGGCAGAAAGCTTGTCGTGAGAATATCCCAGTGAAGGGCTGACGGAGGATTGCATATATACCCACAGTACATTCTTGTACCAATAGGAAACGGAGCTGATATGCAGTTGGTGATATTCTGGGTGGGGCAGTCAGCCCATTGCGGCACAGCAGTACTTGGGGTCCGTTCATTGTTTTAGCACGGAACAAGTTAATACTGTATACATGCACGCCCATCATATTTCACACAGTTTTCAGCTCGGTCTCCACGCCGCACATGAGCAGGGACTTTTCTGCATTTCCGCTCTACATGGCATCAATCTCCACTCTTTTTTTCCGAATGACAAGTGCTGCTGGAGCACGATCGTCCTTTTTCAATAGATCATCCATGAACACAGGCCACATTCACTGTGGTACGGCTACAGCATGTATGCGATTGACTCATAGGAGTACCAAATATGGTTCGTTTACGCGAATAACCTTGTTGGGGCTACGAGCAACCCCAATTGTGTCGAACATGAGATCTATGTTGCGCAACGTACGCTCATGTAAATCCCAACGGAGATAAGAACTATGGGACTGTGGGACTGTGATCCTTTCCATGCAACTTCATGGGCGGTGACTCTAGCAATGGAGACTAGTACCGAATGGAGGCTGTTGAGACCCCATTCCTTATGCGATTCGTCTTGCAAACTAAGTACCTAGGTACTTGAGATGTTCTAATCTTGAATGGAGTGCTTGATTTCTTTATCTCAGCTAAGGCTCGTTTTTGGCCGCGAAGAGGATTACGCAGTAGTGATTAGATATTGCACAGACCTAGAGCGACTCCAGGAGGAAATGTCTTTTTCGAACTCCGAATCTGCATAGTGCGTCACCGCGAGGGCTCGCACCATAAAACACTGCCCCTCCGCGGGCCTCTCACGTTGGCAGCAACTGATAGTTAGCTTGCCCCTTGAATAGCTAGACTACTGTTCGATGGCTGTAAGATTACAGTGGATAGTTGAACGAACTGTTGGCTTATGGAATAACTCCACCCTACGTTACGAACGGCTGGCTGGAGCACAGCCATGCTTCTAGTCGATGTTGTCCATTCTGGTAAGTCGTTTTGTAGTGGAGTGACTCGTTCTGCCGAATCAGTTTTCCTTTCCCTTGCTATTCTTCTTATTATTCCAACCCCCCCCCCCTTCTTTCTTCTCCAAAGAGTCTGCATTTCAGAGACCGGCCAAATGACTGCTCGGTCAGCATAGTAGCAGCATTTCAAGAGCCAGAAGCTCAACAAATGCTTCAGACGTTGCTGAACTTTCGGGATACCCATTATTTGCAATATCTCCTCACAGTCTGGCACTAAATCGAACCATGGTAACGCCGGCCACTGAGCCCATTGCTATCATTGGCAGTGCCTGCCACTTTGCCAATGTTTCAACGCCGTCGGAACTGTGGGCACTCCTGAAAGAGCCGCACGATGTTCGACGTGAGATCCCAGACGACCGTTTCAGCGCCAGTGGTTTCTATCACGAACGACATAGCCAACCTGGTCATACTAATGTTCGCCATGGATATTTAATGGACGAAGATCTCAGTGCGTTTGACGCAGAATTCTTCGGCCTGAAGCCAGTGGAGGCTAAGGCGGTGGACCCACAGCAAAGATGGCTACTTGAGACAGTCTATGAGGTGACAATGCTCCTTCCGTCATCTTAATTTTTGTTATCTGGAATTTGTGCTCACCATTCACGATCTGACAGGGACTTGAGTCTGCTGGTCTTACTATTCAGGAAATGAAAGGCAGCGACACTGCTGTATTCGTTGGAGTCATGAGTGGTGACTACGAAGCAATGTTGCTCAGGGATCTTCAAGCCACTCCAACTTATTTCGCGACGGGCACAGCGAGAAGCATATTGTCAAATCGCATATCACATTTCTTCGACTGGCACGGACCTTCAGTGACGATTGATACGGCATGCTCTTCGAGCTTGGTGGCCTTACACATGGCGGTGCAAGCCCTACGGACAGGTGACACCCACGTCGCTGTTGCGTGTGGATCAAATTTGATCCTTGGACCCGAGAATTTCATCATCGAGAGCAAGCTCAAAATGCTTTCGCCTGATGGCATCAGTAGAATGTGGGACCAAGACGCTAATGGCTACGCGTGAGTACTCCACCACCATTGAGGAGTCAAGTTAGTGAAATGAAGCTCACTCATGCTCGCTTTCAGACGCGGTGATGGTGTCGCAGCAATCGTGCTGAAGCCACTGAGCGCTGCTATAGCTGATGGCGATCATGTGGAATGTATTATAAGAGAAACGGGAATCAATCAAGACGGCGCAACCCCTGGTATCACTATCCCAAGCGCAGAAGCTCAGCAAACACTAATCCGTAGCACCTATTCGAAGGCCGGTCTCGACATTTCTAAGATCGAGGATCGTCCGCAATACTTCGAAGCACATGGAACAGGCACTCCCGCAGGAGATCCTGTCGAGGCCCAAGCAATCCAACGGGCGTTTTTCATGGAAGCCAACACTGCGAACGATAGACTGCCCCACACACAAATATCCGAGAATCGCCCGTCGCTGTTTGTTGGGTCTGTCAAGACAGTACTTGGCCATACCGAGGGTACCGCTGGCTTGGCTGGTATTCTCAAAGCATCACTGGCCATACAGCATGGATTGATTCCCCCGAATCTACACCTCAGCCACCTCAGCAAGAGCGTCTCTCCTTTTTGCGAAAATTTGGAGATTGTCCATGGCGCCGCCAAGCCATGGCCTCAATCCAACACTAGGTCTGGTTTGTGCAAAAGGGCAAGTGTGAATAGTTTTGGCTTTGGTGGAGCCAATGCTCACGCCATTCTGGAAAGCTTCCGCGACTCTGGTGCCAGCCCCGTGGACCATGAAGGGCCTTTATTCACACCGTTCGTATTCTCAGCCAGCTCCGAATACTCGTTGCGTGCCACCCTGCAGAATTACACTACGTTTCTCAACCAGACACCATTGCTCGATGCCCACGACCTAGCTTGGACCTTGCGCAAAAGGCGAACACTCCTCAGTCATCGAGTTTACGTTGCTGCGACCTCAGTAACAGATCTGAAAGATCAACTTTCCTCCATACTTCAGAAAAGCGACGGGCCGATCGGTGTACGCGGCCAGAGCAACAGTACATCAGACACAATCCTTGGTGTTTTCACAGGCCAAGGAGCTCAATTTGCTCGACTCGGAGCGGAGCTGATTGAAAATTCCTTTATAGCCCGGCGTATTATACAGGAATTGGAATCGCATCTGGCTTCCTTGTCGCCAGCGGATCGCCCATCTTGGTCCCTCATGGACGAGATTCTTGCCAGAGGAACTTCGACCCGTGTTGGTGAAGCGGCTATTGCGCAGCCTCTATGTACTGCCATTCAAGTCATGCTGGTGGAACTTTTGGCTGAAGCTGGTATTCATTTTAATGCCGTGGTTGGCCATTCCTCTGGAGAAATTGGCGCTGCTTACGCTGCTGGATTGATGTCAGCTCGCGATGCTATACTCATCGCGTACTTCCGCGGTGTCTATGTGGGCCGAGCAAGGAGCCCTAACGGTGCCCATATTCATGGCGCCATGATCGCAGTTGGGACATCGATGGATGATGCTAAAGAACTATGCAATGACGATTTATATGCCGGGCGGCTGTCTGTGGCCGCATGCAATTCATCTTCAAGTGTCACTATTTCGGGCGACGAGGATGCTATAAAGGACCTGCAGGAGCTCTTGGACGATGAGGAAAAGTTCCATCGTCAGCTTCGAGTAGACACTGCGTATCATTCGCGGCATATGGACCCATGCTATATGCCTTACCTCGAGGCGCTAAGACGGAATGGTGTTCAACCCATCAAGCCCGCACAGTCGTCACATAAATGCGAGTGGTACTCCAGTGTTTACGACTGCGTCATGGATATGGATGCATGCAACGGGCTGAATGGGGAATACTGGGCAGAGAACATGACGCGACCAGTTCTCTTCGCGCAGGCTCTGACAACAGCGCTCCACTCGACGGGCGGCCGGGGCTTCAGCATGGCACTAGAAATCGGCCCTCATCCGGCTCTTCAAGGCCCAGCATGCCAGACTATCCAGGAGGCCCTTGGAAAGACAATACCTTACCACTCTACCCTTATACGTGGCATAAATTCAGTAACGGCCCTATCCGGCACCCTTGGATTCCTGTGGCAGCACCTCCAACGAGACGATATGAAGGTTCCTAATCTTGAGGCTTACGAAAATGCCATGGCTGCTGATGGAGAATGTGGCAGCAACTACCGGAAGCAGTCTCTTAAATTGATCAAGGGCCTCCCAACCTACCCCTGGAATCACTCCACTAAATACTGGGCTGAATCCCGGGTCTCGCGGCGCATGCGTCTTCGCAAAGACGTCTATCATCCTTTGCTTGGCCACAAGGGCCCAGATAGCAGCAGACACCATCTTATCTGGCGCAATCTCCTACGAGCAGAGAAGGAGGATGACGATGAAGATATACTTCAGCTGAATGGTCATCGCGTCCAGGGACAGACGGTCTTCCCGGCAGCCGGATACATAGCCACTGCCGTCGAGGCGGCAAAAGATCTGCCCAAGGCCTCCTCCAACACGAGTCAATCACTGCAAAGTGAAGTCTCTCTTATTGAGATACACAACTTGGTGATCCATCAAGCACTTATTCTGACTTCTAATACTGGCGAAGGCATCGAAGTTCTAATTGAGCTTGACAATGTCAGAGCAACTCTCAACAACGATCGTGTGAAGGCACGATTCTCCTATTCGGCCGCTATAGGACACGATGATGAGCTGACGCTGGCGGCAAGTGCCGAAATCGAAGTTCGCATTGGAGAGAACTTGGACCCTCAGTTGCTGCCCATGCGCCAGCCTCTATCGCCGCATCTGGTGCCTGTGGAGAAAGACCGCTTTTACACGTCTCTGGCCAATCTAGGGTATGAGTATGAGGGCGTTTTTCGATCATTGACTGATTTGAAGCGGAAACACGGCCAAGCATCATGCGTGGTCGACCTTTGCAGTGGGGAAAAGACCAACGTTGCGTATGATCCCGGTGATGGGAGCAAAGTCAAAATGCTACTGCATCCAGCATATTTAGATTCGGCATTCCAATCCCTTCTTTTGGCCTATAGCTATCCAGAAGATCATCAGCTGCGCACTTTGCATCTACCGTTGCGTATTGAGTGCATCCGCGTCAATCCAGCACTCTGTCACGGCCTGAGTCATAATTCAGATGTCATCCATCACAAAACAGACATCAACTGTCAAGAGTTGGCCTTGGTCGATGCAGTGGTCGTTCGCCCTAGCAAGAATGGTCGGCCGTTGCCATCACTTTCGCAGCCGCAGGGTGGCTTCGAGGGCGACATCGATGTGTTTACCAGCTCCAGCCCTCACGCTGCTGTCCAAGTACGAAATGTACAGCTCGTGCCCTTGGGAGGATCGGCGAATGAAGGTGAAGATCGCAAAGTCTTCCTCGAAACGCAATGGGTGGACATGGTACCTGATGGTCTTGCCGCGGCATTGGCCGACCGTTCGATCGCTATGTCCCAGAAGGAGAAAGACCAACTCGCTGCCCTCAAACGCCTAGCAGTCTTCTACTATCGACAATTTGACGCGGAAGTGCCAAGCAAATCTGCACTTCGATTGCCTCCTGAGAGCGGTGCAACTGCTTACTTTCTAGAATATGCGCAGCATGTTCTGTCCTCACTTCCAGCGGATTGGCCAGAAGACACAATTGAAGATATTCACAAGGCAACGCAGGTGTGCGGTGGACTTCCTGATGTCGATGTGATGCATCTCGTAGGCCAAACGATGCCTCGTGTGTTCCGTGGCGAAACTACTATGTTAGAAGTCTTCCGAGAGTCAGGTGTACTAGACGACTATTATAAGCACAGCTTCTCGTCTGAACCCTCCGGGCATTGGCAGACGAGAATCGTGGAGCAAATTGCGATCAGATATCCGCAACTGAATATCTTGGAAATTGGTTAGTTCAATCCGCTTCTGTCTGTGTCTAATTCGTCTCTATGCCCTTCTACGATGCTTGTCAGAGACGCTTTGCTAGGACACATCTCGACCACCTCACCGTTGGTTGACCATAGACTAACGCGTCAGCTTGTAGGTGCCGGAACTGGTGGAACAACGAAGCCCATACTGAACAGTCTGGGTGATCGCTTTCAGAGCTACACCTTCACCGACGTCTCAGCAGGCTTTTTTGGCGCTGCTGCTAATGCGCTTTCCGCATTTTCTGACCGCCTTACCTTCAAGACACTGGATATAGAGAGTGACCCTTGTTCACAGGGCTTTCGAGAGGGGGCGTATGATCTCATTGTCGCGTCTTTTGTCCTGCATGCCACAGCATCATTGTCTCGCACCCTGGCTAATGCCCGCAAGCTCCTGCGACCCGGGGGGTTCCTTGTTGTCGGCGAAGGCAGCGTGCAAACCACTCCAGTATCCAGTTTTATCTTTGGTCCGCTACCTGGTTGGTGGCTTGGGCGTGATGATGGCCGTGTGCTATCACCCCATGCATCAGCCGCGGACTGGGATCGGTTATTGCGCGAGAATGGGTTCTCGGGGATCGACACGAAGGCTCCCGATGAGTGGGAAGACGTCCTTGGTGTTTGTCTGTTTGCTTCACAGGCTGTAGATGATCAAATTCGGTTTCTCCGCTCCCCCCTTTTGGACTCGACTCCAAAGCCCGAGCTCGCGTCAAAAAGATTGGTCCTATTCGGCGGTAAAACGCCTCATGTTTCGCGACTCATTGCAGAAATCAGAAAGCTACTGGAATCACTTTCTGTGGAAATCGAGGTTCATCAAACTCTTGCGAGCGTTGACTATGATGATATCACGACGAGTCAATCTCCAACAATGGCCATTCTGAGCTTGGTCGATCTTGACAAGCCTATATTCGAAGACATGACTGAAGTAGACTTTTCATCTATTCGGCGGATATTCTCGCAAGAAAAGACAATGCTTTGGGTCACGTCAGGACGAAGGTCCGGTGATCCATATGGTAACATGATTGTCGGCTTTGGTCGCACCGCCGTACACGAAACGCCAGGCTTAAATCTGCAGCATCTGGATGTTGCAGATCCTAACACAGATGGAGTCGCGCGTACGATCGCCGAGACATTTTTGCGTCTTTTGATGATCCCTACAATGGCTGATAAGGACCAAAAAGCAATGTGGGTGGTGGAGCCTGAGATCGTAGTGGAGGCGACTGGACGAAATCGGGTCGCTCGACTGATACCTCTTCGTGCTCTAAACGACAGGTATAACTCCGGAAGACGTCTCATCACGCAAGATGTTGACATCAAAGATAATCCTGTTGCAATATGTCGAGATGCATCCGGAGATATTGCACTTGAAAGAGTGAGGTCGGAGATTGTTCGGCCCGTCAAGGAGACGGCGGATCTCGGAGGCTCCTTGCTCAGTTTGCGCGTCACTTACGCAGTTGTTCCTGGTATCAGAACACCACTCGGGCACATGTTCCTCGCTGTGGGGCTAGAAACAAATACGGGGTCGACATATTTACTTCTGCTTCCCTTTCTGGCTTCTCTGGTCAGCGTACCTACCGCCGCCGCCTTGTTACTCCCCCCGAATATTCGCACAGACTCGAAGACACTTTCATTTCTAGCCGATCATCTCACGACTCTGTTCATTTTGAAATCAGTTCTTCCCGGTCAAGCTGTGGTGGTACATAATGCCACTGAAAGCTTGGCTGCAGCAATCTCTTCTCAGGCAATGGCCAAGAATGTGCTGACGGTCTTCACTGTGGATGAAAGCATGGATCATGGACTGTCCAGAAGAAATTGGATCAGCCTTCCACGATTCGTGAGCCAAGTTGACCTGTCCAAATTACTTCCTTATAGGGACAGGATTTCGTGCTTCATCAACCTGACGCCATGTAACGCCTTGTCAGACAGCTGGGAGTCGATCAAAGCTAGTGTTCCAGCCTGGTGTCGACTAGAAACAGTGGACACTCTCTATTCCTGGGAAGGTTCCCCTGGTCTTTTCACTGCTCATGCACTTATAGTGCAAGATCTTCAAGAAGCGTTCCAGATGACACAGCGGTGCAGTCAAAGCTGTCAAAATCCACCTGTGGTCATGAGACTGGAAGATCTGGTCACCTCAAAGCAAGATGCTGACCCAACTCACGCAAAAAATGGTCTCACCATTCTTGATTTCACGGCTCAAACTCTACTACCTGTACGCGTCAGAAGATTGGACGCTTATGGAACCATGTTCAAGCACGACATGACATATTGGGTGGTCGGACTATCCGGTGACCTAGGTATTTCGCTCTGTGACTGGATGATTAGTACTGGGGCGAGGCATCTCGTTCTTACAAGCCGGAAACCAAATATCGACAAGGCCTGGATGGAGTCGCACCTACATGATGGAGTGCATATAACAATCATTCCTTGGTAAGAAGACAACGCTCTGGCTCACCTCTGATATACCAACAAGGGCTAATGAAAATCTTGTAGTGATATCACTAGCTACCCAGCCCTCACCGCTGCCCACGCGCAAATTTGTGCCGCACATCCACCTATCGCTGGGGTGTTCAACGGTGCCATGGTGCTGCGCGATACATTCATCCGTAACATGGAATTCACGCAGCTTGAGGAGGTAGTGAAACCAAAAGTGATCGGAAGTCTCAACCTGGATAAAATCTTCTCGGCAGCCAACCCTCCTTTAGACTTCTTTGTCCTCTTCTCCTCGACCAACTTCACCATAGGTAACCAGGGCCAAGCAAACTATGCCGCCGCCAACGCCTTCCAGTGTGCCCTCGCAGCCTCGCGAAGAAAGCGTGGCCTTGCTGCCTGCGCAGTAAACATCGGCGCAATCATTGGAGCAGGGTACATCCAACGGTCAACGAACTATAGGCGCGTATTGGACCTCACTGTAACTCGTGGGAACATGATGCACTTGTCTGAGGAGGACTTTCACCAGCTCATCGCCGAAGCTATAGAAGCAGGTCGGCCTGGATACGGCGGAGTGGCTGAGCTTTCTACAGGGCTGATGGACGTTGAGCATGACACGGCATCACCGCCTCTCTGGTTCTCGGATCCGAAGTTCGCCCACCTGACTTTGCTTCGGGACGGGAACAAGAGCTTGGAATCCTGTAGAACCGAGCCAAGTGCCAATAACAATAGTCCCGTCGCCTTCAAAGAGCGACTGAAATCCTGTCAAAGCCTCATGGACTGCGAGCGGGTGATTTCGGAGGCGTTCGCGGCCCAGCTTCGTCAGGAGTTACAGATCACGGGGACATCGGACACCGAATTGATGGAGTTGCGCAGCAACGAGATCGGACTTGATTCCCTCGTCTCGGTTGACATCCGAAGCTGGTTCCTAAGAATGGTTGGTGTCAGCATCCCTGTGCTGCGCATAATGAGCAACAACACCATGAAAAGTCTCGTTCAGCTAGCGGTAGAAGGTCTAGAATCGGATCTGACTGCGCAGATATCGACTACCTCCGTCGACGGAGGAGAGGTGACTGAGAAAAGCGACTCATCAAGTGATGTGGCAACACCTTCAGAAAGCGTCAGCAGCCATGATTCACCATTACATTGTCAATTGCCAAGGGAAACAGCCGAAGCCCAAGTCGACTGGGAGGCCGAAACGCTTCCTCCAGCCGTCGACCCCGATATAGACCGCCAGCTCCGATCTAATCCCGGCTGGACTCCCTCCCCATCAGCTCGACCACGAACTCTTGTTCTCACGGGAGTGACTGGGCTCCTGGGATCACATTTATTGAACTACGTGCTCAGCAGTCTCCCAACAGTTGTTAACGTCATCTGTATTGGCATACGACGTCTGCCGGCCCCTCATGCAGACACGCGGGTCAAGTTCTATTCCGGAGATCTCAGCGCCCCCCGTCTCGGCTTGTCACTTTCCGATTCAGTGTCCATATTCGCAACCGTGGATGCGGTGATCCATGTTGGTGCCGACACGTCGCACTTGAAGCCCTACGCAGCGCTGCGTGATACCAACGTCAAATCTACGGCAGAGCTCGCGCGGCTGTGTCTTACACGCCGAGTTCCGCTGCACTATGTATCCACCGTGGGCGTTGGTTTCTTCTCTGGGGAGCATGAACTACGGCCTCAACGAGCCTCTGGCACACCAGGACGAGAGAGTGAGGGGTACACGACAAGCAAGTGGGTGTGTGAGCGCATGCTAGAGCGCATGAATGCCGATACGGGGCTCCCTGTCTGGATTCATCGTCCCAGCGCGATTCTGCGGCTTGGCAAGGACAATGAAGGAGATCGAGCGAAAATGGACTGGTTGAATGGCCTGCTGCGATATGTGTGGAAGCTGAGAGCCGTGCCAGCTGTGACATATAATAAGGGAGCGTTGGATCTAGTGTATGCTCGTAGTGTGTGTGAGCGGATCGTGCGGTGCGTTCTTGTTGGTCTAGAGTCGGGGTCTGACCTGGAGAAAGGTGTGAATTATGTCCATGAGGTGGGTGACATCGTGATTCCGCTAAGCCGGATGCACGAAGTTTTGGACCTTGACCTTGAATCGGACGGCACCGATGGCATTCAGGGACTTAGGAAGGGCGAAGCGAATCACATGGGTGATTATTCGACTCCCAAATGCGAAATTCTGCCAATGGGTGAGTGGGCCACGAGGGCAAAGGCTCAAGGTCTACATCCCGCTGTGGTAGAATTGATCGAGGGGATGGATGGGCCGGACAAGCCGCAGTTTCCAAGTCTGATCAAGTCTTGACGTTAAAGAGGCGATATTCTCCGAGAGACTTGTGATAGTGTCTGACGAACGGACGGGAACCCAAGGCTTTCCGATAGAATGAAGTTCAATTTATTTTATAATGAAATCGAAATGTGGAACTTTCAGCAGAAGTGCCGGAAACACTTCATTCATCTCATTTTACGGGCGTGTCTGTCATGCAACACATGTTCCCCTGGCATTTTGCCTGGATACTTACAGCCCGTGAGTATGCCTATACGTGACACAGTTCCGTGCAACTGACCCTAATGAATTCCATGAGGAATGATTCGCTGGTGTGACCTCTTTTGCAGGTGCATGCAGAACAGGCCACCATTAGAGGGGCAGTGCCTTGGCTGACTTCAAATTGAGATTTATATTTCAGGCTGCCCCTCTCGTTTGATCTTACTTTGATCTCCTATTTATGTCACCCCATGCGCCTTGCATACCCACCAAACTTAGTTTGAAGACCTCTTTGCAGCATGGACCCCGTTATAGCCTTTGGCTTGGCCGCAGGCATTCTGCAATTTGTCCAGTTCTCCTCCGACATTTTCAAGACCGCATACGGGTCTTACCGGCTTTTGCAACAGGACAGTGCGGGCGCGGTTTGTGAGAGGTTGAAAGAGCTCAGCAATGAGTTCAAAAACTCGGATTATATGAAGAGCTGTGGAACAAATTTGATATCTGCACGATCGAGGTCACGACTGGAGTCTTAAGCAACTTCAGAAGAGTCTCGAATCCTTTGCCCAGCTCTCCGCGACAAAGGAGAGGTTTTGCGTCTTCGTCGACGGTTTGGACGAATTTGATGGAGACCATTCGGATATGGTTGAAACTCTGCTTCGACCATCGGACTCTACCCACCTCAAATTATGTATCGCCAGCCGACCACGGAATGTGTTCGAAATAGGATTTGGCCAGTCAGAGCAGCACAAAATCTACATGCAAGATCTTACTCGTCAGGATATCCTGAATTTCACCCGAAGTCGGCTAAAGGGGCATTTATGGAACAGATGGGCTCACTCGGTCACCACAGAGGAATGCGAAACACTTATAAAAACTGTCGCTGACCAGGCAGAGGGCATTTTCTTGTGGGTGTTCCTTGTCACGAGGTACTTGCGTGAAGGTATAGACAACGGCGACACATTTAGGAACTTACAAGCGATGCTTAAGACCTTCCCACCGGAGCTAGAGCTCTTTTTCAAACAAATATTTGACAGAGTTATTCTCTAATGAACTATTACAATACACCAATCTTTCAATGGAAAGACTTTAGATTCTCACTCGTTTCTGTCTCGCTGCAGAGGAGCACAATTTGCAGGTCTTGTGACACGTGAGCCCCGGGTAGCTGCAGCATGTACAAACAACGCTTTGCCTCCTTAGGTACTCTGTCAACATGTTTGGCGCACATGCATGTATTTACCCCTCCAAAAAGAAAACGACCTGTGGCTAGAAGGTTTGATTCAGTTATCCTCCTTGATGACGTGCTAAAAGTGAGTTGTTCAGCACTGTACTCATTAGTGTGCCCAAGATGTCGTCCTCGTATGTTACCGCCAACTCAGACCAAGCACCTCAGACTATGGCTGCGATCTTTGAAGCAGTCATGTCCTCAGATGAAGATGCGGCTCAGCGCTTGTTGGAACGAGACAAGCAGAGTCTTCGCGCAATGACTATGGAAGGAAACACACCACTCCACGTCGCAATCCAGCACGGCCATATGGCTATGGTTAGGCAGCTTGTGCTCAAAGGGGCTGATCTGGAAATTAGAAGCAGAGACGGAAGCGCACCTATTTACTTAGCTTCTGCCTTGGGCTTCGTCGATGCCGTCGAATTTCTTCTAAGATATCATGCGGACGTTGAGGCTTGGAACGCCGCCACTGGGCTGACTGCTCTCCATGTCGCTGTCACAGGTGAACACAAGACTACTATTCAGGTACTGCTTGAATATGGGGCGAATAGGTGGAAGCGGGACTCCCATGGTCACTCGGCACTCGAACGTGCCCAGGCGAACGACGAGGTGTTGACCATACTGCAGTCCGAGTCGCTACTACAAGGGCCGTCAGTCGTATCGGAAGACCCGCGAGATGCCTCATTGCCGAGGTTCGACAGTTGTTTCGCCTTTCCTGAAGATTTGAGCCAAACAGATGCCTGCAAAAGGCTCAAGGCAACCATAGTAGACTTCTATCTGGATAGGGCCGAGCAGAGGATACAAATGTCAGCGAGCATACAAGACCTTTTGTACGGTGACGGTCCCGAGGCTATTATGACGAGAGCGTGGCCACAAAGAATGAATGGATTGAAACCTGCATTTCGGTGGTATCACTTACCTGCGAATAATGTACGTACAAAGCCTAGAAGTTAGAGCCTTTGCACCTGCTTACTCCTCATTGTGCTGGCAGATGCAATGGGTAACGGTATGACAATGGCCTCATAGCACCATTTGGTATCCTGCAGCTGACACTGTGATGTTCTTCAGGCCCTCGTGAAGCGACATCTCGCTGGCAGTGACGAAGGCGCTCGCTGGTTGTCAGATGACTTTATGACCAGCCTGGGCTTGTGTCGCCCGCGAGATCAGTCTGTGTTTGCATTTATGAAATCTATGTGCCAAGCGAGTAAGGTATGTGACTCATGAGAATTGTGCTGTTATCAATAAATGCTGGAATGCCAGTGCTTATATTTAAGGCCCATCCTGATGACCGGTTCGGCAAAAGTAAAAGTTCTCACGTCGCAGCATTTGTAAGTCCCAATTCACGCAACGATTTGACCCGTACTCAACTCAGGCCTCTAGATTCCGTTCTTGAATTACGAGACACAGAGTGGATTCCAAGCCATGTCAGAGGTCATTTTGCGAGTCACCAAAGCAAGACACTTACATCTTGCTTCTCGTCCCGATCTGCCTTCACGAGCAGCGGAGTCTGTCCTTACTGGACAGTCCACGGCTGCGCCACGAAGTGTAGAAGGAGTCCGAATGACTGATGAGATTGGGGAGACTCCAAGCTTTGACCATCAAGAAGCTCTCAACGAGGTCCATCAATTCGATGGAAATGCAGCTAATCAGACAGTATCTAATGGCTGGCCAGTCACTGGAAGGGTAGGCTCAAGTGGAACGGTAGGTGCAGAGCCACACAACCTGAGTGGCGATGCTACCAGTGACTACACCTCCGCGAATTCTCGTTTGGAACGAAGTATTCAAAGTAGTCTTCAGTCTGAATCCATCATGCATATTGATAGACGACCTTCGAAAAATAGGCAGCAGTCCCTGAGTCCAACTGTGAGGTCTCAAGAATCTTCTGAGACAAGAACGTGTGAGTCTGGAGGCCGAACTTCAGCAGATATGATCCGAACACGATCGTTCCACACCGCACGAGAGACTACATCAACGCGGATTTCTCCTCCACAGAACCCAAAAGAAAGCCTCATACAAGGATACTTGTTTTGCAAGAATTTGGAGCCTGGTCCTCTACAACTAAGACGCACGTTGGATCAATATCACTATGCGCATCTTGACACGACAAAGCATAGGGACAAAGATCAAGTTGTACTCAGGTATACTTCAAAGACAAATTCACAGCCCAAGTTGTTCATGGTTGATCAGATGTGGTTGTGGGTTCTCAACGGAGGTAAGTAATGAAGTGTACGGTTTCAAATTGAAAGCCCCTCATCTGCTGATGTGTCACTCAAAACTCCCAGATACGGTTATTAGCTGTTTTCCAAGTAGATGGAATTCTTCAACGGATCAGCGCGACCCTAAGTTTCTGATGTCTTTATCGCATATCGACGGCGATCTGCATATCAATGGTGATGTTCTTGATCCATATCACACACTCATAAGATATCTCGGTCTGTTCACACGCAAGCCAATGACTTCGGCATTTGAATTGGCAAAAATACTCTCGTCATGTTGCGCCAATATCTTCGACGACTCAATTCTGCCCGAAGACCTCGACTTCTTCGAATTCTTTGATAGAGCCATTCGAGACGTCGTGAGTGAAGCACTTGAGCGGATCCATCGCGATTTGGATACGCTGACAAACCGCTATCAGAGGGATGAGGTGGCCCAAATCCTTCATGACTTTCATGCCAGAGCAACTGGTATTCCATCTGTGAACAAGGCCAAAGAGCAAGAAGTTCCAAATATAGCCAAGGAAACAGGCCTACTCATTGAGATCGAAGACATCCGCGACGAGATTGGGATGCTAAGAGCAGTTATAAAGGACCAACGCGGCCTCTTACGCAAGATGAACAGCATAATGGCTGACAACATAGAGGAAATCGAAGGCAGTACTGAGAGAAAGGGAGAGTTTACAGAAGACTTTCCAGTTTTAGAGCGTCATTTGGTCAAGATCGAGAAAATGGAGGAGATGGCTTCAGAGACAAGTAATCTTGTAAGGGCCAGTATACATCACTTGAGGTGCTACAACTGTTTGATATGTATTGCTGACAACCTTCCAAGCTTCAATTCCTTGTTGATTTGAAACAGAAGCAAGCCAGTATTTTCGAAGCACACTACGCGCGGAAGCAATTGGAAAAGGAAGCCGAGCAGGCTCAGGATACGGCTAGGCAAAGCCAGACTACGGTAGTCTTCACTGTCATCACAATTGTCTTCGTACGTGCTGCTACAAGATTCACGCAGACTTCTATACTGATCATACGACGCAGCTTCCGTTATCATTCATGGCCGCATTCTTTGCAATCAACATCAATGCGTTTCCTGTGGATGAAAATGGACAATTGGGCTTGGACTATGTGCTGCGATATATGCGTAAGAATGAAATCCTTCTGCCATTGATAATCGATGGTTCCAGAATAGCTCATGCTGCAGATAACGATAGTTGGGGTCTCTGCCGGACTTTCGGTGCCATTCATACTGGTCGTATTCAACCAGGAGAAAGTAGCTAGAGGATTGGGCCTCTTGAGGATCGTCATACTGCGGATTCCGGTGTTGGTCTGGGAGGTATTGATTGCTGCAATCATTGCAATGGTCGTCACATGGACTACACCACTGACGTGGGGATTGAAGCTTGTGTTGACAATTGTCACAGTTGTAGCGACAGTGGCATTCATCTCTTACTATAGTTTGAGGGTTTTCCTCACTAGTTCCTCATTTACATCAAGGGAGGAGCCGCCAGTGTGGCTTGTAGTGGTCAAGATCAAGAAAGCTATCAAGGAACGTGTGGAAGCTTGGAATTGAGGCCTCTGTAGAAGGCTCGCTTTCGTACAACATCCGCACGAGTTAAGCACTACTCAATTTCGGAAATCCTGCCTTCACTTTAAACTCCTGCATAGCTTCCAGCCTCCACGTGAAACGATTCAAACAAAGTCGATATGCTTGATATAATCGGCAAAGTTACGCTGCCAGGGATCTCAAAACTTCGACCGATTTGACTATAGTGTGCATTGTGTTAACTAACTATACTGGATTAATTTAACTAAACTAAGTAGGTAGGTTTATACTAACTTTATTTATTTTACTAAAGAAATACTCTTACTTACTTTATTTTATTAAGCTATTTAATAGGTATAATTAAATTAGTTTAAATAGGTTATTATTAAATTTTCTAGTATTTTAAATAACTAGTAACTCTTTGCTTTATATATTTTTTAGAATATAATAATAATATAAAACTATATAATATATTATATAGTTTAATTAGCGCTAGTATTATAATAAAATTTTAATAATTAATAGTAAAAAGCTTTATATAATTAAAGCTTTTAGTTTAAATAATAAATTAAATTAAATAATATATATTTTAAGTTTTTTTATATATTCTTTTATATACTAAAATAAGCTATTAATTATTCTCTTTTAAAGCTAAAACTAGGATAGCTTTTTATAATGCCCTTTTAGCCTAGTAATTTAAAATTATATATAAAGGTATATTTTTTAGCGCTAAATTTATAATATAATATAATAATATTATAATACTCTAGCTTTTTATTAACCTTTTTATACTAATATTTTTCTATTTTTAATATAATGCTTTAATAATAAATATATTATATATTTTACTATAGTTATAGCTAAGCTTTATTAATTAATATTATTTTTATATTAAATTTTTTAGTAAAAAGTTTAATATTATAGTTTTAATTATATAGCGCTAGTTATAATATAGAGTATATATTATATAGATAAAAAAAAATAACTATTTATAGCTATAATTATATTATATTAATAATTATTAAAAATATAAATTAATTAAATTTATTTTAAGTATTTAAAATAGTTTTAAGCTTAAAATATTAATTACTAAATATTAAAAATATATTATTATAATTAATTATAATTTAATATTTATAAGTATTATATAGTTTATAATATATTAAAGTAGCTTATATATTTAATAAAGTATATATTTAAATTTAATATATACTTTACTAAGTATATAAGCTATTTTAATATAAAATAATATAGCTTTATATAACCTTTTATTTATAAATAAATTTTATAATTATAACTTTAATTATAATTATACTATAATAAAAATAATAATATTAATAAATTTTTTTTTACTTTTTTTAAATTTTTTATTTATATATATTAAAATAAAAAGTTAAGTATAATTATTAATATTTATTTATTTACTTATTTTAATATATAATTATATAAAAATTATAATTATTATAATACTTACTAATATATATAAGTTTATTTTACTTTATTAATATATATATATATATATTTTTAATTATTTTTACTATTAAATTAACTTTATATTTAATTAAATATACTTTATAATTAATATTACTAATATTTTTATAAATTTAATTGTTTAATAAGCAATTTAAACTATTATTTTTAAAATATAATAAGCCTTTTTTTAAAATTAACTTTTTAATAATATTAATATTAAAAAAGTATAAAATGTTTTAGCTATTTATTTTTTAATAATTAATTTATTTTATTAAATAAATATTTATAACTTTAAATATTATATTAATAATTTTATTATTATTATATAATAATTATAACTAGTTTTTAATTAATAAACTTAATAAATAAGTTTATATTTAAAAAAATATTTAAAATAATAATATTCTAAATAATATATAATAATAATTAATTAAAAGCTTTATAATTATTTAAAATAAATACTTAAATTAATTATTAAAAAGCTATTTTAAGCTAATACTATTTATATAATAATAAATATATTTTATATAATTTATTTTTTTAACTTAGCTTATAAGGTTTATAAGCTTATTATAATAATTTTAATAATTTATTAAATTTTAATTTATTTAACTTATTTAGCTTATTTAATAATTTTAATAATTTAAATAATCCTTTTTTATATAAATAATTAATTATATAATTTATAATTTAAATAAATTTTATTTTTATATATAATTAATTTTACTAATTTAATAAACTTTTTTTTAATTTATTAGTTTTTTTTAATTTTATTTTTATTATAATTATAATATTATTCCTTTTTTTTAATACTTTTTTATTTTTAAAAAGTTTATTTTATAAATTTTTCTTTTTTTTTTATATTTTTATATTTTTATTTTTTAATATTTTTAAATTTTAATAATTATAATAAATTATATTTTTAAA